ACCAGACTGAATTTTGCCTCAGTGGTATTCTAGAGCCCACCTATGTTTCAAATTAAGAAATTAAGAAGTGAACAGAAAATGAATGGAAATACAACACGGTTTTACCAAACCCATCCTTTGTTACCACAGTCTTTTTCAACTGACACATTGCTTTCCCTGCCCATAAAACTCAGCTGCAGCATGGGCTTCAACCAGGCTAGAAAGGTAGCATAAGGAATGCAATACAGATAGGAAACAGACCAAGAAGCTGTAACATGCAGATTTTTGCTAGAAGATGATTAATAACAGAGATATTAAATGTGTTAACGACTGGCCTGATTTTCATTGGTGATGATCACAAAAAGCTGTTACCAAAATCTGTAAGTCTCCAAATTGAGAGGCAGTGTCCACAAGTCATGACATCAACAGGGGATCTCATGTCATGATATCAACTGGGGATCTCATGCTGAAGTTGCAGAAGAAAGATCACCTTTGGTTAAGAAGAACATGTTGTGAATCTAATGCGCAGGACACTAAGAATTTCTGGTACAAGTTGAGACTTCATGAGGTGGGAATAAGTTAGATACTTAGATACCACCACTAATCACAAGATGACTACACGATAGCTTTACAATGAAGATAAAGATGGGTCCTATCACAATGTTTTTGTCTAGTATGGCTAGAGAAGTATTAGTAACCTTTTAGACAAAACAGTGAGATTCCATCTAAAGCAACAACAACTGTCATCAACATAGAAAAAATATGGCTGTCAAACTGCAGGAGATGAAAGAGCTACCATGATGATTAGAAAAAGAGAAAACTGGTTTTAGGAGATGAGGCTCAAAAAGGCTTCAAGTCCATCAAAAATTGCTAAGAAAGGACCGACTGCTGTCTACAGATATGTCAGAAAGCAAAGTGCAAGAAAGGAGGAAAAAAGCTAAAGCACAGGCATAACTCAATATGGACTGGCCTTTGGAAAGTCAGAATGGAAACAGGACGACCGGTTAATTCTAAGATTTGTATCAGAAAATTGCTGGAGATACTCATTCCTCTAGATAGAGATTAACCAGCTGAAAAGTAAAACGTGATCTATTCAGAGAGACTTGCAGACAGTTGAGATTTTGATTTCTTGCTTTGAGACTCCTAAAAAGAAAAGTATTGCTAAAGATTGCTTTCAGTTGTCTGTTCTATTGTCCCTCCTCCAATGTCTAGCACCTCTTTGCTTATGGGGTAGTAGTAAGTCTGTAGGTTAAAATAACCGTGAAAATTAATTTTCTTTCTTCCCCAATAGCTTCTACAGGAGTCTTTTCCCTCTAGTCACCCAGGCACAGCCTTTGTGCTCCTTTACAGTGTAAGTCACCCTACACTTAAAAGATCCCTGGAGATGTAGGTCAGCTGAAAATTAATGGTACCATCTCCAGAGAAAGGAAACACTAAAGACACTACCACGGAGTTTGAAGTCGACCTGCATGGAAACATACTAAGACAACAGCGTTGAAGAACAACAGGAGCAAGCCTCATCCAGCCAATCCGGGGAAGGTGGCTGGCGATACAAGTTAATCACAAACAGTAGTCAGGCATCAAACTTGTAAGGAACAGGTTCTGTACCGATACAGACGGAACTGGCACTTGGGAAACAGCTATGCAAGTTCAAGATGTTGCCATTGCTTTCCTGGAAATAACTTACCAGAAAGTGATTTGAACTGTTTCCACACGCTTCATCTACATCCCAAATCGGACTCGGGTATTATCCCATTCATTTCACCCTCAAGTGCCTCTACTTGCACAATGCCAAAGAGCAGCCTCACGCCAGCCATACAGGTGCTCCCTCCACAGCAGCACAGAGCGCTCCAGCGTTAACAAGTGTTAGCATCCACTCTCCTTACACAGCCCAGCAAAGCTGCTACTACCACCCTACCAGCCTCAGAGGGTGTTCTTACGCACAAACAGTTTTCTGAAGCAGTCAGTGGTCTCATTTGGATGCAGGACTGAAAGAGAATGTAAGAAGTTGCAAGGATTGGTGCAAGAAAGCTGTAACAGTGGCTCAGGTGTCTGAACTCCAAACAAGTCTGAGCTGGAGTAGCATCGAAAAATAAATACTGGAGACACATAAATGGGGAAGCAAGCTGGAGTATCGGAGGTGCTGCTGAAACCAAAGAAAAACCAGACCAATGGCAAGAACTAGCCAGATTCCTGCCTCCTCCAATGTCTAGCACCTCTTTGCTTATGGGGTAGTAGTAAGTCTGTAGGTTAAAATAACCGTGAAAATTAATTTTCTTTCTTCCCCAATAGCTTCTACAGGAGTCTTTTCCCTCTAGTCACCCAGGCACAGCCTTTGTGCTCCTTTACAGCGTAAGTCACCCTACACTTAAAAGATCCCTGGAGATGTAGGTCAGCTGAAAATTAATGGTACCATCTCCAGAGAAAGGAAACACTAAAGACACTACCACGGAGTTTGAAGTCGACCTGCATGGAAACATACTAAGACAACAGCGTTGAAGAACAACAGGAGCAAGCCTCATCCAGCCAATCCGGGGAAGGTGGCTGGCGATACAAGTTAATCACAAACAGTAGTCAGGCATCAAACTTGTAAGGAACAGGTTCTGTACCGATACAGACGGAACTGGCACTTGGGAAACAGCTATGCAAGTTCAAGATGTTGCCATTGCTTTCCTGGAAATAACTTACCAGAAAGTGATTTGAACTGTTTCCACACGCTTCATCTACATCCCAAATCGGACTCGGGTATTATCCCATTCATTTCACCCTCAAGTGCCTCTACTTGCACAATGCCAAAGAGCAGCCTCACGCCAGCCATACAGGTGCTCCCTCCACAGCAGCACAGAGCGCTCCAGCGTTAACAAGTGTTAGCATCCACTCTCCTTACACAGCCCAGCAAAGCTGCTACTACCACCCTACCAGCCTCAGAGGGTGTTCTTACGCACAAACAGTTTTCTGAAGCAGTCAGTGGTCTCATTTGGATGCAGGACTGAAAGAGAATGTAAGAAGTTGCAAGGATTGGTGCAAGAAAGCTGTAACAGTGGCTCAGGTGTCTGAACTCCAAACAAGTCTGAGCTGGAGTAGCATCG